CCTTATTAGGTTACAGAAGCTAAAATCTTTCAATTTTGCCTCCAGCCGGACTTGAACCGTTGACCTTGACTGTGAAGAGTATGGGAGCTTAACCGCTAAGCTATGGGACCTACACCCCCAAAGCTAGTATATTAATTTTTTTAATTTTTATATAAAATAAAGTAACTATGTAGTAAAAATCATTAGTTTTTTTACTTAAAGTTTTACTTAAGTAGTTAATAATTAAAATAATTAACTTGTTTTACACAATATTGGGCAATTAAACTTGATTTGCTTTAATGTATTTTTGAAATTAAAAATCACATTTTTAAATATTTTTTTTTAGTTTAATGCTTTATTAAATAATATGTATTTAACCTAATTAACAATAAAGTTTTTAAGATAAGAGTCTATTTTTACTGTATTTTACCTTTATGCATTTCTATTTTTTATTTATTTTACTTATACTTTTTCTTTTTTTGTTCTAATTTTGCTATTATTCAATTTTTTTCTGGGCTGCCAACATATTTTTCTGTTTTACCTCTTCAACTTTTCTTTTTGTTTCTTTATTTGTCTCTTTTAACTTTTGCCAACTTTTATTGTTAATAAAAAGTTTTGCAAATAAAAGCATCTTTCTTTTTTAAAGAAAGAAATCAGGCTTTTGTTAGTTTACTAAAGAAGTATCTGAAGGTTTAGCTTGTAAAATATAAGAGATGTACTTGAAAACTGAGTATAAAGAACTTATTCTAGGACTTTTATAAGTTTCTAATTCTTTTTGAATTACTGTAAGTTGAACTTTTAGTGATTTAATTTCATTTTTAAGCATCTTATTTTCTAATATCAACTGGGTAAAATTTATGTAAGTATAATGAGAATAATTTAGTTTAGTAGTTGATTGTAGAGAAGACATAACTAGTTTTAAAGCCTGGCTAGAAAAAGATACAATATTGAATTATTCTGTTGTTAATAAAAGGTTTAAATAATTAATGATAATGGCTTTGGGGTTAAACAGTCATATTTTTGTAACTTTAAAACTATTACAAATAGCAAACAATGTATAAGTCTCAATAATTGCTCTTTTGTTTTACTAAACTTATTATTGGTTGATGTATTTTATTTATACTTTGTTTTAACATTTTTGTTAACTATAGCATATAACTTAATTTTGGTATTATTATCATATTGTTTATATATACAATCTGATTCATTGTTATTTTTTTGTATTTAAGATCTCTTATTGTTTGACTAATTGTTCTTTTAGCTTTTTTTTTTACTAGTACTTTACTCATTCTGTTATTTAGCCATATTTTTAATGAGTGAACTATCTTGTTTTTTGCTTTTTTTGTTATCTTGCTTTCTCTAAAGATTACTTTTCTTTCTTCTTTCTTTTATATTTATTATCAACAGCTTTGATTTGGTTCTATTTATCTTTATATCATTTATTTTAAAAAATTCTTCTACTATTTTTAATATTTCTATTAGCTGTTTTTTACTATTTGCAACTCATACTGTATTATCTGCATATGCAATAGCTGCTTGGTAGTACTTTGTAATATTGCTGCATTGCATTTTTCTTTTGATCTGTTGTTCTACTATATATTCTAAATTTTTATTTTCTTGTATTCTCTTTAACAGTAAATTGTAGAAAAGGTATCATATTAATAGAGATATTATTTCTTTTTGTTCTATGCTATCTCTTGCTATTATCTTTTTTGTTAGGTTATAAGCTGTGATAATTTTTAGTTGTCTTTTGTGAAACAGGTTTAGAATGTATTTTATTATTCCTTTAGACACTTTAACCCTTTATCCCTTAGATTGTAACACAGGCAAATTTGTCTGCATAATTTTTTTAAAATTAATTTTTATAATAAAATTTTAAC